GAAATTATAAAATATTATGTGCAGTACAGTAAAGGATGTAAGATCTAGTCATGGGACAGAAATTTGAGGTTATATAATGAGTCTAATTTGTAGTGAAACTATAAAGTTAAACATTCTATTTTGAGTATACTAAATGTGAGCTTCTAAGGTTGTCTTAAATCTGCCCTTATCTTGAAGAACCCATATCTTCTGCCGTCAGTATTCTCATCTTAAATATGACCCTTCCATCTATAAAATCTTCATTTGTTTTAAAAATAGTATCTTATGTTTATGTTGATGTTTAGAATTCTCAAGGTGTTTTTTGCTGTCTTTTGAAGGGCATATAACACTTTTCATGGGTTAGCAGTTCTTGGGCCAGAAATGAGAAGCTGTGAAATTTTATTACTACCCTAGTCATCAGCCCTTTCGGAGTGTGTTCATGAAGAATCGATTCATGAGTTTCCAAAGCACAACGGTGTTTCCAAGGAGCAGTGAGAAACCACATTTGAAAGACACAGCTCTCTGGCAGGGTGAGCTGTTGATAAGCCAGCTGTGGCTGGTTTCACTGTGGAAGCCTTTGGGCATCTGTCTCTTTGTCCTTGGCATCCTGTTGTCTAAGCTGAATCCTTGTTTCACTTGTGAGGTGATAATTACTTTTGATTTTCACAAGGACATTGATACAGGCTAGTGTTATATTTCTGATTGAAAGCGGAATGACAGCATTTCAGACAGTAAAGCTTTCTTTGTAAAAACTTTTTTAGTATATGTTTCAGTACATAATGATTACACTCATTGTGGTGAAGTTATGCATGTCCATAATACACCTCAATTCCTTGTATTTCTTTTTCTCCTCTTCTCCTCCCTCCTCCCACTGTTTTACCAGCATCAGTTTCATTTATTTATAAGTCCTTATCAAATTGTCATATATAAAGTTGAGATTTCCTAGAAATATCACTTCATGGTCACTATGTACAGGTCAATGAAAACTGGAAATCATATTACAAATATGTGTGCTTTTCTTAAAGCATAGTGGTAGCTTTCTTTTAGTCACTTTTGTTTTAGGTTTATTATAAGAATTAATTAAAGCAAAAAAAGAATTAAAGCATAGCTTTGTGTATTAAAAAGTGGGGGTTCTTTTTTAAAAAAAAGATAGACTTATGGTATGTGAAGTGCCTGTGTCATTTGCCTCCTGCTTAACATACAACTTTAGTCATTAAGTTCTTTCATTCATGTTTTATGATTCGCCACCTACCTGTTCTTCTTCATTGTTCTTGCTTTCTTTTGAAGACTTCATCACTAAAATACTGAACTCCAAAGTGATTCATCACATTGCTTGTTGTACCACCCCATATGGGCGCTACACCGCTACACTACATCATCAGCATTCCGTCCATCTTCCACGAAACACCTGGAACAACCACCTGAGGAGGACAGGTTTATTTTGGCTCATAGTTTTAGAGGTTTCTGCCCACAGCTGGTTGGTTCCATTGCTTTGGATAAGTATTGGCACAGTATATCATGAAAGGTAGCCTATGGCAAGGAAGGTTTGATAGCCTCAGTGAGTCTACGAATGGGGTCCAGGGGAGGGCTGAAGTCCCATAGCTCCTTCCAGGCATATCCACAGTGAGCTAACCTCCTTCCTCTGGACCCACTTCCACCTCTCAGTAGCACCATAGCTGGCAACCAAGCACTTAGCACACAGGCTTGGGAGCCATCTAAGACCCAAATGCTAACATACACCAAACCTTCATGTGCAGAAGTATGCTATCTTTAGCCCCGGTCCTTGGGTGTGCTTTGGCCTCTGCCTAAGTCCGTGAGAGTGAACCTTTCAGAGAACAGCTGCCCAAATCCACTTACTTACCCCCAAGTGCCTGCTCTACAATGGAGCAGCTGTTATCAAATGCTTGGCTGCCCAGTGACTTGGCTCCCATGCTCACAGAAGGAGCTCCGTGTGCAGCTCTGGAGTGCATACTGTGGGCTTTCCATAGCTGGTGTAAGTGAGTGAAGTCACTGTACACAGCCATATAAAGCAAAAACCTGGGAGGCACCTTAGCTCTGCCTTTCTCTGCATCACACCACGAAAGTCATTCATTACTGATAAATACATGTCCCTTGCACACCCCAGATGCACTGCCTCCTGCCATCCCCATGGCTACCTCCTTAGGTCACTGTCACTTCAAGACACTGATTCGTCAGACAGTGTCTAAACCTCGGTAATGTACAGAACTAACTTCATAAGGTCTTACAAGACAAATAAATGAATCTGATGCTAGCCAATTAAAAGAGGATGGGAGGAAGAGACAGAAAAGAATCGAAGGGGCTGGGGAGATAGCTCAGTAGAATAAGCGTCTGCCTGGCAAGTGCAAGGTGCTGAGTTTAATCCCCTGTACAGCAAAAAAAAAAAAATCTTTTTTGAAATGTGTTCTATGCATGTACTATTTCCCTATGATGAATGCAATCACTGTGTACTGCACATATATACCAATAAAAGTTTTAAAAGGAAAATGAAATAGATTGGCAATATTTTATTTGACTCTGCATTTTAGGTTGTCAGTAAGTTGGTGTACTTCTTAACCCTTTAGTCATTGTACGCAGCTGTGCAAATCTTCATATCTGTCCTCCAGATTTTTTTTTAAATTATTGCTTATACTTCGTTTTTCTTCCTATGGAGATAAACCTGTTAGGAATTCTTTATAACTCTGATAGTCTTTGGTGCCCAAATCATAGATATGATTTCTTCCCTCCCTTCTTAGTGGTAAACCCATGGCATGCACACTCACCCTTCATCTCTCTGGTAAAGAATCAAATGTGTTCTGATAAATTAATTTTGGATATTTTTCTCTAGTATTGTGCCCAACCAGGAAACACACACACACACACACACACACACACACACACACACACACACACGAGAGACAATCAGAAAAAGTTTTAAGGAACCATTTGCTTGTGCTTTATGCTTTATTATATTAATATAATACTCTTGATTTATTTCTCTTCAGATTGTATAAATCTTTCAGTTTTTATGTTGATACAAATAAAACCCTGTAGCCAGAAGAATCATAAATCAGTGTCCCAGTGACACAAGTATGTCATGGTAAGGGTAGGAATTTGTCAGAGGTCACTGTCTGAGCACCAGTGCTTCCACCTGGGCACCTCATGCAGGCTGATCTTACTCGATACTCATCTTCCTCTGCTTCCTACATTCTTATCAAAGTTAAAACCACATGAAAAGTCCTTTGGAGCTTTCTCATCACATCAGGAAAAGGTTGATAGAAGAGACTTTTTTTAGCCACAGACACCTAAATTAGAATGTTCTATGGAAGAAAGAATTTTCAAATGATTATTTCATAAGGATGATGCTTTGCCTGCTCCAATCTCTACCTCACCCTTCTGGGCCAAGAATTGATCATTATGCGAATGCCTGGGGAACAGAATTTGCAATATGGTCTCAGGGGGATATGTGTTCTTATTACTACAAGAATTCACTTAATGTGGATCCATCAGAGTATTCGGCAGTTCCTATTCTTCTGAACATTCATCCCTAGGTCCCAGAGAGATGGAGACAGGGTGACAAACAAGAACTGGTTCTCTTGGTGACTGTGGAATCGGAGGACTGTGTGTCCTTGTCCCCTAGGGATGACCACCTCCATTGCAATGGAGGCAGGGGGTTCACTGGAGAAAGCCTCACCGTAAAACCTGTGCTGCCAGGGTTTCCAGGAAGCAGACCCAGCCCACACCAGCCTGCAGCAAGAGATCAGTACAGGAGTCCTGCATCTGGGGAGTCCTTATTTCCAAAGCTATTGAAGAGCTAGAGATCCTCATCTCTGACCTTGAAAAACTCACTTCAGTTTTTGCAGTTCCCTCTAAATCTAATCCTATTTCTGAGATAAGACTGGGGTTGGAACCACAGTAAGTAAAGTATGCTTTTCAAAGTGTGTTGGCATAGAGGTATCTGAGGGAAGAAATAAATCTGTGCACCGAGTAGAGGTCAGGACCAACACATAGGCAGGATGTTTCTGTGGGTCACTGTTCCAGGAAAAAAATGTTTACTTACAACCAGGAAAGCAGCACTGCCAGTGGGTAGAGAGGTAGCAAGAGTAACAATATTATACTGTCACTTTATACAATTATTAACCTTGACCAGGTACCAAGAGCAGCTTCTGTGAGTGCTGACCAGATCGGTGATGTCACTCTTTGCTTATGCCTGGGAGGGAAGCAGCCAGATTTCTGTGGGCAGCATTTGGAAAATTACAAATGTAAAGTGAGTTTCGCTTGCAAAAGCCCTAATATCAGTAAGTGCAAAGAGAAGCAGTACTCCTTGAAAAATGCATTTGTCAACCTGATGACTTTGTTGTTTCATTCCGTATTCACTCTTTAATCATTTTCTTTTCTTTTTTTTTTTTTTTTTTTTTTTTTTCTTTTTTTTCTTTTTTTTTTTTTTTTTTTTTTGGCGGAACCAGGGATTGAACTCAGACCCTTATGCTTGCTAGGGAAGCACTTATTCCACTGAGCCATCTCCCCGACCCTTTAATCATTTTCTAGGCACCTTTTCTGTGCAATATGTTCTGAACACGTTAAAAAAAATAAGAGAAAAGCCAAATGATGAAGAGAAATTGAGAAGAAAATAGGTAAACTAAATGAATTCAACAGCCAACAACACATGACATACGGGTATGATATTTTCTCAGGACCAAAAATAATTGTTTATTCTGCAAAACAAATTCTCTGTGGCTGTGATCATAACAGGAAAAAATGTGGGTCTTCAAATCAGGGATAAGTAAAATTCTGTAGAACTGGAAGTAGTGACATCAGATGCTCACACATATATGTTATCTGAAGTGAATCTTCTTGGTGTGTTTCTGTGGATTTCAGGATTGGACAGACGGACCCCGAAGAACACTGTCGACTGATTCAGTGCACAGGTATATCATCCACCTCATGCTTGCATTAAGCATCTAATCCAGATCCTCCCTGCTCTCCAGCACATATCTGGCTGTAGCAGCCACTGTCAGAAAAGCATGACAGAAAATCAGACATGGGTCATTGAGTTCATCCTCCTGGGGTTCCCACTCAGCCCAGCGATGCAGGTGCTCCTTTTTGGCCTCTTCTCCCTGTTGTATGCCTTCACTGTGCTGGGGAACGGGCTCATCCTGGGACTCATTTGCTTGTCCTCTAGACTTCACACCCCCATGTACTTCTTCCTTGTACACTTGGCCATCGTTGACATTTCTTATGCTTCCAACAATGTTCCCAAGATGCTGGTAAATCTTCTAAGCAAGAAAAAAACAATCTCCTTTGGCGCATGCATGACACAGACCTTTTTGTACATGGCTTTTGCTCACACTGAGTGTCTCATCCTGGTAATGATGTCTTATGATAGGTATGTGGCCATCTGCAACCCTTTGCAGTACTCTGTCATCATGAGCTGGACAGTATGCAGCGTCCTGGCCATTGCTTCCTGGGCTTGTGGCTCCCTTCTGGCCTTGGTCCACGTGGTTCTCATCCTCAGGCTGCCCTTCTGTGGGCCTAATCAAATCAACCACTTCTTCTGTGAAATCCTCTCCGTCCTTAAACTGATCTGTGCTGACACCAGGCTCAACCAAATAGTCATCTTTGCAGCTTCTGTGTTCATCTTAGTGGGGCCCCTGTGCCTGGTGCTGGTCTCCTACACTCAAATCTTGATTGCCATCCTGAGGATCCAGTCAGGGGAGGGCCGCAGGAAGGCCTTCTCCACCTGTTCCTCCCACCTCTGTGTGGTGGGGCTCTTCTTTGGCAGTGCCATTGTCATGTACATGGCCCCCAAGTCCCGCCACCCTGAGGAGCAGCGGAAGATTCTGTCCCTGTTTTACAGCCTTGTCAACCCCATGCTGAATCCCCTGATCTACAGCCTGAGGAATGCAGAGGTGAAGGGTGCCCTGCAGAGGGCGCTGTGGAAATAGAATTCAATATGAAAGATGCCAGGGACCTTATAAGTAAAAGATGTTGGTTGCTGGACCATGTGAATGAGAATGCCAGTGCCTTAGTGTCTCATCTCTTGGGTTTCTGATGTCAAGAACGTATGTTGATTAGATTCTGTCCCTAAACCTGGGGTACAAACCAGACCCCAAATCCTAGGCAAAGAGCACAGAGAGCTTGGGTTACAAAGAGAAGCATCAGAAGCCATGAGCCAGGAACTACTCTTAGAAGTTCCAGGAAACACCCAGGTTTTGGGTTCTAATGGTTTGAACTTAGTTTTGTGAAATTTCCTCTCCATTTCTTAAATTTTCAGCTCCCTTACAGTCATAAGTATTTGATAATCATCCCATAATAGATGCTGCTCCACTGCACACTGGTGACAGCAGAGAGTACAGAGTGGCTTCCACAGAAGCAGCCCCTCCTGGGTGGTAGGAAGGAGTAGGGAGGGGTCCAGCCAGTGCCTGGCCCAGCACTTAGGGCTGAGATGTCATCTGGAGGAGCTTAACCGACCTCTGCTTGTGAACAATAAAGCTTCATTTTATGAATTTTCCTTTTGTAGTATGAAAGGCGGAGAAAGATCAGGATCTTCATTTTTTAAATTTCCTTCATTTCATTATTTTATTTCATTTCATTCTGCTCTACTTACAAGAGGTTTAGAAACAACATGTTTTTAGAATGACTATGAGAGAGTGTTATTAAGGGAGGTTATCTTTTCCACAACTCAGATCACAAAGCTGGGTCCTTGGCAGTTCACCCTTACTACAGTTGCACAAAATCGTGCATTATTAAGAATATGTTGCAGAAAGAAAGACATCAACAGAAACAGATAGCTTAAAAAAATTATAAACAATCACTTTGACCAAAAATATTAATAGGCCGATAAGAAATTTTAGGAACCTCAACAAAGTCCCCAAGTGGGCCTATTTCCAGTGATGTCTCCTTTTTTTCTGGACTCACATGGTCTGAGTGATGCATATGCGTGGTTGTTTCTCATTTAACACAATATTGGGATCTGAGTTATCAACCTAAATTGATAAAATGATTGTTTTTTAACTAGTATGTTTTTGCAGCACATAACATTTGCATTCCTTAAGTGGAGTCAGCACATGTTCACATGCACAACATGTCTTAATTCTTTTTTTTTTTTTTTTGTAAAATGACTCTTTATCACAGTAGGTTGTGTTTAGAATTCTCTCTCTCTCTATTTTTGTACTGCAAAATCACTCCACTATTATTCTCTTCTCATTAAATAAAAAGCAAAGACAAAACTTTCCTTCCATGCTCTCTGTTAATACACTTTATTTTCCATTCTCAGAAAGCCAACCTGATGCCTATTCTCCCTATCACTTCACCTGGGCCCCACATCTTGCCTCTGGACATTGTCTGGTGCTTCTCATCTCCACTGTTTGAGGACCTTTCCAGCCCCCAAAAGTCCTCAAGCCTGCTCTGTATCTCTCAGAGAGAGAGAAAAAAAAAATTTAACACAAAAATAGATACTGGTTCTAAATATAACTATCAAGCAACGTGGAATTATTGTGTGTCCTATTCTAATGGCATAAAGAGGGGAAAAGATGATGATGATTATGTATGTTTATAATAAATATATATTATGTATTTTATAACTCTTCCTGGAAAACATTTTATTTTCTAACTTACACATCCTTTGTATTATACCTAATATAGTAAATGGAAAGAGAAAAAGGAAAATATAAGGTATTTTCTTAACATATGAAAAAAACATAGACTAGGAGTCTGTATTTTTCACATAGGGCCCATTAAGAGAGATCAAGATAACTTTTAATTTTATGTCTGTTTCTAAGTGCTCAGGAAACAAAGGGCCACAAAGAACAAGTTTATGGCAGGTAATTAGTACAGTTACATGATAAAGAATTATCATCTAGTGTGTCTTACTGGCTCAATAGAAAAAAATGTTTTTTATCTTGTTAATTGCAGATAATACCTAAGCATGACAGGTTACCATTATTTGTATCAATATTTGAATTGCAGGATTTCAATAAACAAATTATATTTAGTGTTATGGTCTCATTATTCTAGTATCAGTCACAGTTTTCCAAAGGCTAACAGTAAGTGGAAGAAAGATGCATGACTGTTGTGGAAGTTCAGAATCTTCACAAATGTTAATCTTTCATCAACTAGGCTATGAAGCAGATATTAATTTCTTTTTTCATAAATAAAGGCACAAAAGTGTGAAGTATTTACTATCCTGTCTTACACAGTGCAAGGTTGATGGGATGGATTTGATTGCTATGCCTCAGTTTTACTCCTTACGAACTGACAATGATTTTCATCAGCTTTCTTGGCAATATGAGGGTGATTTAATTTAATTCAACATGATTTAGGCTCAGCCACCACATGGTGAAGCAGAGGTTGGACTAGAAACAAAATTTAAACCATTATAGCCAAAGCTTTAAGATCAGAAGGAATACGTCCTCCAGTCACCTATGTTTGGGGGCTCATTATTGCCCAGATTGGAGGTGAAACCCTCACCCTACAGTCCTAATCATTCCCAGATTCTAACTTACTCTCCATTTTTTTTTTTTGGCCCACATCCCTATGGGCCACGTTGCAAAGGTGGGCCCTTACAGAAGACATCACGGAGTTCTCAGCAGTGCATCTTGCCTGTAATACTGGCTTTCTTATGACTAAATGTATATAAATGCTTTATTTTTCTTTATGCTGAATGTCTTCCCAGGAAGCCTCTCTTATACACAAGCCCCTGATGGAAAGACCTTACTAGTGCTCTGTGCTGGAGCGGAGATACTTCTTTTGGATTTACATTTCTGTTGTGCTTCTGAAACCCTTTAGTTTCTTCAACACTGAGCTACATCACAAATCATGTGCAGATGGTAATGATTTTGCAACCTATGTCACTTAACTTTTATGGGTGCCAAAGAATATTAATAAGTGAATTGTATTGATATGTGAATCTTATTTAAAGGTATATTATATTTTTATTAGGAATATAAAATGATAATGAGACATAACGATCATGTACTAAGATTGAGTACTCATAAAATCTAGGTTGCGTTAATGATTTGTAAATTATTAACATGAAACAACAAGAAACTCTCAAAAGTTTCTGGTATGTGAACTTGTAGGTTTTTAAAATTTTACTTTTGTTTGTTTGGTAGTCCTGGGAAGATCTGTATCAGAAGAGATTGAAAGATAGTGCAGAAGAGGTAGGACATGAAATGCTTTTTGTGCTCCTACTGGTAAATAGTAAGAGAATCCTATCTAAATTACACTGTATACATAGCTACAATTACAAAAAAAAATTGAGATAGCATTTAGGATAGGATCCAAATATAAAACATACTTAAGCTATGGGTTTTTTACATTCATGCTCTTCCCTGAACACTAGGAATTCTCATCAGCTGTGTGTATTGAACAACGTCTGTGTATAGGCAGCCCAGGTAGAGATACAAACCCACCATTGTGGAAACTTGTTAATTGTCTGCGAGATCTGACTATGGTCCACTCCTTGAACTGATGGACCCTGCCCTTAGTATTATCCTGGACACTAATGAGATTAAACAGTAGTATACAGAAGAACAAAAAAATGAATAAACATAAACACTTAAGTGGCTGTGAAATTTCGCCTGGCAAAGAAACAGTATAGTCATCTTAATATGTCCCACAAAACATCCTGTAAGAAGCAGAAACAGTTGTTTATTGATTTCCTCAAAGCAAAAACTACAGTGACTAGATCGATTTATTTAGGAGGTAGAGAAAAATCAATACAAAAAATATGTTCTAATACTGTAAGTCATTCGACTCTGAGGTCTTGTGAATTACCATGCAGTCTTCCTCTAAATATACAAGTTTACTGAAGTTTACACGAATTGAACAAGCAGTTGAAATAGAGTCTTTCAAATATCTCTCCAGTCTTAAAGATTTTATTATTTTGCAAAAGCTCTTTGTCTTCATTTTTAATATTAGGGAGCTTAAACTGATTGAAGATATACTTGTCTCTGTCTAAAGATTGCTAGATAGAAACTGTAGCAGAATGTTGTCAGAATTTTGTCTTGTTCTTCTGAGCTTGAACAGCATCAAAGGAAAATGTTCAGGTAGCAGAGAGTACTTGTGGAGGCTCCATCGTTGTGGATGTCTCTCCCTGATTCCCACACCTCCGCGGCTTTATCTTGAGTCTATGTGATTTCATGTTTTACAATGTTATCCGGGTCTCTAGTGACAGAAGCTCAATGATTGGTGCTTTCAACCAAAGGCAGTGGGAGATAAACCTGGAGAAAGACAAAACCAGCTCCCAAGTTTGAGAGAAACACTTCTGTGGGAACAGAAACAACATATAAAAGCTGACAAAGAGATGGGCAGAAAGCACCAGTTTGCTGGTTGAATCTGGACGCTGCCTGACAGGAAGCTTCAGTGCTGTTGGGAACTAAAGAAAGTAAAGTGTTTCATGGGATAATGTCCAACTGAAGCCAGATACTGTTCCTCAAAATAAGGTATGGAAGAAGAGCAAGGGGACTCTCTTTGCTTACTAAGATGCTGCTCTTCCATATACTGCCTCACTTTAGAGTCCCCTGAGAGCTACAGGGTGAAGTGTTACAGTGTCCAGGCACTGTAGCACAACCAGAGACAGAATTTAGCCCATATCTTCCCTTTAAAAATCTGCTTATCTTCTCAGCACAGTCTCCAGTCTTGGGCTTCTCCATCAAAGTCATCATCATCTCCCAAAATTTCCCTTGCTAAGTCTGATATCGATTGTAAAATACTCCCATTTATAACCTTAGGAAAAAGAACTCACTGAAGGGGTGGACTGTGCTATGGGCTAAATTACTGTCTCCTTGCTGCAAACTGATCCTGTTATTGTGCTTTTAAAAATGTATTTAGTTCAGGGTCTCACTAAACAGGTGATTCTCTTGTTTGCAGCCTCCCAAGCTCTGGCATTATTGGCTCACGCCACCATGCCCAATCTCAATCGCCATCTCAGTGAGCTCTGGGG